CACACACACACACACACACACAATCTTCTAATCTTTCCAACAGGTACAGAGATGGGAAAGCAGTATGGAATTAATGTTTTTATTGAAACACACAGGCCTAGCAAGGTGCCCTGTCTAAGCCAGGTTGCACTTCAGATGTTTGAAGGATAATAATGATGTAACGATAACATAATGTTCTAATATGGAACATAATGATGTAATCTGAAAGCTGGGAGTGTTGTGTCTAGTCTATTAATTTTCAGTTTCTAGACACAACTGAGATTTTAGCTGGTATACAATCAAACACTCCCATTTCACCCTCTCTGAGTTTTAAAAATACATTTTATTGCCTATTTCAAAGCTCCACAGAATGTTTCAACCCTTCTCTCACAATCTTGTGCTTAGAATCAATTGCATTATTTTTGTTATTGAAGGATACACATGCTGCCCACCTCCTGATTCTAATAAAAAGAGATGCGACTCAGTTTGGCTGCAATATATTGTGCTGTCATTTACATTTTAGAATATCTTGCATTTTCAGTGCTGATGAACTTGGATAATAAACCACTCAGCAGTCTCTTATTTTTCATTTATTAGGGACAGTATTACCTAGATTTGAGCTAGGAATTTCAATTTGTTAGTCTGGGAGCTGAAGAAATAATTTGCATTAGGCTGGTGGATCATGCTCAGGAAGAAAATGTTTTCACACATTCCCTTCTCTTCCCTTCCCACCCTACAAAACATACTATTTTAGATAAAAGTTGTTTAGAACTCCTTTAGAAGGGAAGATGCTTTTGGAACAAGGGGAGGGGTACTGCTTTTTGATTTCTGTGTAGATTTCACCTTCCCTAGAAGTTGCCATAAGGTAATAACAGTTTCTGAGCATAATAAAAGGGGCTGTGAAGAGCCAGATGGAAATTAATGATTCCTACCATACCTCTGCAACCCAAGGATCCCAATTTTTACTTTAGCTGCAGAGAAAAAAAGTGATCATGCTGATATATGGTTTTATTTGAATTCATTTTTGGGATATTGCCTTACTATTTATCTCTACAATCCTTTATAGTCATAGCTATGTTTGCATAATGCAAATCCCTCCCCCCCACAACTAGCTGATCATATTTTAGCTTAACATTATTATTGTTGGTCGCACAGTCAGCCAGGTGTTTAGACTGGATTTGGCATTTTTATCCACCTGTCGAGTCCTTCCCAAGGACCTGTGATAGGCAGATGTTTGATGGTGTTAAAAATATTGTCGCAGGATGTAAGCTGTTCCAAGTAAAGCTGCCTTTTGCAATTGACTGATGGTG